AAAACAACATAAAGTATGGAGATGACATAGTGTTGATAGCAGACACAGAAAGAACGCTAAAACACGCCTAAAGAAAGTAAATGAATGAAAGCGAGACGAAAGCATTAAACAACTGCAAGAAATTACAACGCATGGTTGTTAGCAAAAGGATGAGTCTAAAAGTGTGAATTGCAAATCGGAGATACCAAAATCAAAAAAGTGCGAAAATTTAAATATCTAGGAATTTGTTTTTAACAGAGAACAGAAAGTGATACTGAAATCTGAAAGCCTATTGAGATAGCCAAGGAAGTATTCCAAAAACTAAACAGAGCACTAAGAAACAGAAAAAAAAATCGCTAGAAACAAGGAAAAGAGTACTAAACTGCTATGTGATATCTGTCCTCCTGTATGGCAGTGAGTGCCAGACGATCTCCTCGAAGATGAAGAGGAGACTTGAAGTAACGGAAACTTATATTTAACATCAGGAAGAGGCAGTTGATGTTTCTGGGGTATATAATGAGGAGCGGAGGTGGTAAAATCTGATACTCACGAGACACATAGAGGATAAGCGGGACAGAGGAAAACAATGCATAACATAGTGAGCTTGACTAAATGGATGGTGGAACAAGGCTTAGGAGAAATAACAAAAACACAAAGTTTACTAAAGGAAAAGGAAGTTGTGGAGAGCCATGATAACCTACGTCCTGAGGTGACACAGCATATAAAGAAGACTATATTGGCAACAAGGTTTCCTTAATTTACAGTTAAATTGGCTAGATGTAATCGTATTTTCTAAGTTAGTTTCTTTTCTCTCACTTCTCGATTTATTATTTTTACACCTTCATGCACTTTTGCTGTTTGTGGTTATATTTTTTGCATTTTTTCCCAAACGAATCTTTCTGAAGATTTCCGGCAAACTTTGATTTTCAAAATCTTAATGCAACATCAATCGTGTGTGTGTGTGTGTGTGTGTGTGTGTGTGTGTGTGTGTATATATATTCTTTATGGCAAATGTTATTAAAGACAACAGATGTTTTGTATCGATTAATTTTATTGATCGACTTTTTCATATTACGAATAATCCTTCTCAGATAAAGAGGAAATTCCGTCAGGAATTGTCCAAAGTTCGTTTTGGAAGAAATAGGGTCCAAGCTTTCGACATTTTTAAAGTCATCATCAGGATAGGTAGAGACAAATGGTGAGTTTCGGAGAACTGGTGAGTTTTAAGCACATGGGCAAAGACTTTTGTCACGTAGGCAAAATAGGACATGTGTGCGCCTGTTCATCTTATTCAATTATTTATTTTGTTTTATTTTTTAAAATTTTATTTTATTTTTTTTGTTGTAAAATTCGTTCGTAGAGTAGTAGTTAACAATAACATTCACTCCAATAAACGACGAAATCTTAGCATCCTTAAATGATAAAAATTTGTTCACTAACGTTCCATTTTAAATAACGTTTATCACCATTCTCTGCCACCTCTGAAAATTACCCTTATAATAGTGAAAAATACAAAAAAAAAAAAAAAATACAAAAAAAAAAAATTGTCCACAATACAAACCCCTTTCTTTGACCACCTTGGCTAGATATACGCAGACTGACCGCGATGCTATGGGCAGCCACCATCTCAGTCCTTTATTTTCAAACCTTTATATGGCCAACTTAGAAAACAAATTGTTCAATAAAATAAACAAACCCACCACTTATGCCAGATATAATGACATCTTCATCCAAACCAAATCTGTCACTGACATCATAGAATGTTATAAAGCCTAAATATTTAATATAAAATATCTATACACACCACAACCAAAGAGTTGATACCCGCAACAGTGCTATCAGACAACACATTAAAAGACAGCATAAGGATCATAATAATAACATTATTGGATAGATTATGAATAATACATCTCAGATAACGAGGAAATTCCATCAGAAATTGTCCAAAGTTCATTTCGGAAGAAAAGTACAAGAAATATAGTCAAAGTTTTGATATTCTTATGTCATTATCAAGTTAGGTAAAGGCAATTAGTGAGTTTTGTAAAGTGTTGTGGTGTAGGCAAAGAGTGGTATGACATGTGTGTGTGCCTGTGTGTGTGTGTGTGCGCACCCGCGTGTTGTTTTTATACACTCTTAACTTAAGGTATAATTGTTTTCATTTATTAATGGCTGTTTTTGTTGTATGAATATTTTTTAAGCGTTTCACCCCAAGCAAGGCGGGAAGCCACTAGGACGCAAGGGGTTACACTACAGAATATTTGGAGCAAGATCAGATAGGAGTGATAGAGGAAAGGATGAGGAGAAGGATAGTGGATAGATCAAGGCAACTGGAGATGTCGATTGACATTAAATTTGAATAGTTGGAGATTATAGCTCTCAGGGAAACTGGAATAGGGAAGGGAGTTCCACGAGCGAGAGGTGCGAGACATGAAGCTATCGGAGTAGAAGGGACGGTTACATTTAGTAGTTTCGACAGTGAAAGGGTGAGAGCGGGATGCCAGCCTCGTAGGGCGCTTGAATTCATGAAGTCTGGGAACCAGAGAATGCAGCTCCTCGAGAATCATAAGTCTGTTTTTTATTATCTGATTTTGATAGCATTTTGGTATTGTTTGTGAGTAATTTTAAAGGTTTGTCTCTAATATTACTATGATCCTTATGCTGTTTATTAATTTGTTGTCTGATGGCACTATGGTCCGTCAGGTGGCAGGTGAGTCTCCGTGCGAGTGTGATTGTGGTATGCCATATGCAAGACGTATTGTGTTTTTTATTTATAGAGAAACATTCCCCGAGTAGGCAAGTATATTCATGCACAATATTGGACTATATTTCTTGTATATATATATATATATTTGATCAAAATCAATATAGAAGGTTCCAGGAAGAAGCTGCAAATAAATACCGTCTACTCAGGTGAGTTATGTTTCCAGCATTTCGGCATACAGTTGAATTTGAGCGTGGAGGTGACTGAATAGAACATTGGATCCAATCTGTGAGTAGATGGAATTTGGTTTGGCCTCTGGTGTGTGTGTGGTGAGTTGTGCAGAGTTGTGCCAGATGTTTTTGGTAATTATTTTATTGAAAATTAGAAAATAAAACGAACTGACTCAAGGGTATAAAATAAATAATATATTTTTATTTATTTAATTTAGAGCTAGTCATTTGATATTCGGTGTAGCAAAATGTTCATTTATAAGGCGGATATAGGCAGCAATCTGGAGAAAGTCTGTTTCGGTTTGGTAGAGGGTAGTTTCAAGTCAGAACTTGGTAGTAGTCGTCGTCTTAGAAATAGGTTAGCGTCCATGTACTGTGTTTTTCTCGTCCCTGAGAAGGACAGAAAATATCTGATGACCTCTTAACTATTTCATGCATCACGCATGAGTGGTTTCTCTGGCGGTCAGGTCTCTTATTCCGTAGTTTCTCTTGCGGCCCCTTCTCGTCTAGCTCAGAGCTGTGAGCGTATATCCTTTTGACAAGGCTCCCAGACCTTGGTTTCGGCTAACAACATCAAAAGTCTCTTTGTGTTATATTTTTTGATTGGTCAAAATTATTTTATTTTTCGGCGTTTATTTCTTTTTGATTTTTTTATATAGCGGAAGTTATACGTGGAGCCTCTCTGATTTTTGGTATTTTTCAGTCACAAATTAGACTCTGGTTCAAAAACCTTCAGCCGTTTTTTGGCAGGGGTTCAGTTTTTTCATCTTCATCCTCTTTTCATTGAGGGTTGCCTTCTCATTAGTTGAGAGAGAAGTATATAGAAGGAAGAAGAAGAAGAAGAAGAGAGAGAGAAAGAGTTTTTTTTTCATAATGAAAGTGCAAATGCCTTATTTTAATTTTTTTCTTTTTGTTTATTTATATTATTTTTATCGGGGATCACTACGACCTGTTCAGTTGTGGTTGTTTTTTTTTCGAATTACTTGAAAAGAACTGACCAAGACTGGAATTTGAAATGATTTTGTCGTATTTTTACGTCATTATCATTTATGCACATTCTTGTATGGAAATATTGATAAAAATAAAATACGTTATTAAAGATACACGAAAGATGAAGCAATTTTGAACGTCTCTTTAATTAATAAGAGAAAGAAAGAATGCGAGACGAAAGGAGAGAGAGAGAGAGAGAGAGAGAGAGAGAGAGAGAGAGAAATCAATATCGGCATTGTATTCAATTAACCCATAAATAACCCTTTCTTTACTGATTTTAACATCACTCCATTAATTTGCTATAAAGAAAGAAAAAGAAAAAGCTTTCATGAAAGGAAGATCATGTGCAGATTTTAAAAAATCGTGAAATAAAGAAAGTGCTACCGGGCTACCAGATTCAGTTGTAGCAGACGTATTCACTGCGATATTCACGATTGATATTAATGGTCTGAAAATAAGGGATCATCTTATACTAGTAAATTTGGAATATGAAAACAAATTTTCTAATGAATTATTTGAAATGATAATGTGTTACTTTCCAATCGTGATTATTACTACACCACCCACCCACTTCTCTCTTTAAACCATTTTCTTCGATTGTTTATTAAATTTCTTCACTGCTTATGCTTAAATCAAAACTGGGTATTGTTTTAGACATCTGATTCTTAAGCTATGGTGATAAATGTTTTAAAACGTCTTAAAGAGTAAGTTGTTATTGCTTTTCTACACTAGTTTTCTGCTACAGATTTGAAAAACATGTGACCGACAAGTAGAGTTGTACATTTGTTTATCAGCAGCTTCGTATTTTATTTTGCGGAAAAACTAAATAATAAAGATTAGTAATTTGAAATCCCATGGAAAAAGTCTATATATTTATTTCAATTAAGTAAATATTAAAAAATCAAAGTCGATACAGAAGACTGGGTAAATATTCATTACGATCAACTGATACGAGACTGTGCAATCAAATTATCAGTTGTAGAATTATAAATGGTCGTCTGTGAAGTCTTGTTTTTTCACTTTTATTTCAATGTGGGCGATATGTAATTTTTCTCCAGAGATTTATCAATCCTTGGTGAATTCTTTTTTTCTAAACAATAATGCCGGCCCTTGTCCTCTTCAACCGCCGATGGCATATCAGCGGGGACGACTTATTTTTTCCTGGACTATTGGAGATTTTCACCCGAGCTGCATGGTAAAGTACAATCACTTCATCTTCTTGACAAATATTTAAACATTTGTTTCTGTTCATTTTGTTTTAATAACCACATTTTCTTTATAATATCTTTTGTTGATTTATGACTTATTTTGTAGATTGTTTTATTTATATATCTTTAAATGTATAACGCTTAAAATTTCACTTATATTTTTAAGCTTCTTAAAAACACCGGTTGACGGTAGACGTTTCTGACTATCTGTCAGTCAATGTACAATTTAGATTTTGTTGTAAATAATAATTTAAAAAAGTAAATATTTTTATTGGTAAAATTTATTAAAATGTTTCCTAAGGCAAACACCGGACTTTTTAGGTGTAAATTTAAAACAGTTTTTCTGTATTTTTAAATCTGTAAAATTATTTTCCAAAATCTGTTCATCGTAAGTACTTTTTTTTGTTCTCTAAATAATGAATTAAGTCTTTCAAATAGTTATAGTTTTTTAAATTATTAAACAGAAAAGATGTTCGTTTTTGCGTACAGTATTATCATTAAAAAAAATATGACTCATTAAAAAAATCTTTTTAGTTAGAGAAATGTTTTTCTTTAGCGAAAAGTTATAAAAATAAAACAAAAATAATTATTTATTTTAACTTCTTAATCTAATCGATATTTAAAATAAAAATGAAACTTTCTTTAAGTAGTAGAATTTAAGAAAATGTTCAGGAAAAAAAGTAAGCTTTTTTTTTTTTTTACTTTACTTAACTACTCCATTAAAGAAACTCCAAGATGCTGTTTTGTTGTTGTTGGTTTTGTTTGAAGATATAAACAAAAAGTTCATATCTTCAAAACCAACAGTTTTTAGACTACGTAAAACAAAAACATGCACTGTGCATTTCAGGACGGGAAAATAAATAAATGAATGAACGAATAAAAGTACGTAGAACAATACTTTGATTCTGAATTGAAGCTTGAATATCTTTCATCACATGATTTGTTTTATGACGGAGAGAGAAAAAAAGTCATGAAAATAAAATCTGGCTTTTTTTTACATTTTGATAATTAAAAATCAGAAGGCAAATTTTAAATTTTCTTAAAACGGCCATTTTCTTATAAAATTTATTTATCGATTTTAAAATATTAAAAAATTCTGACAAAATCTGTTCAAATGTAGATACTTTTTGCTTTATGTAAAAAAGAAAAAAAAAAGAAAAAGTTATTGAGGTCTGCAATGATTGATTGAAAATAAGGGATGAAAGTCTTTAAATTTTTAAACTAAATGGAAATATTGAGTAAAAAATGAAAAAAAGAAAAAATAATTTAAAATTTTCTTTACAGCTGAGAAAATACAATAATAAGGGAAAATGTTTTGAAAGGGACTTTGTTATAAAACTTCTAAGCAATTTGGATTCGTAAATTTTTTTTCTTGATTTCGGTAAAAAAGAAAAAATTCTTGTAAAAATTAATTCATCAGAAAAAATTATTTTTCAGGCTTGATTTTTTTTTCAATTCAGAAATTTTAAACAATATTATGAATTTTAGAAAGAAAAGTGAAATAAAAATAGATTATTGACCATCTTTAAAAATTACACATATTTTTTTTTTCTAAAAAAAATATTTCAAAATAAATTTGAATAAGTCCTGAAAATTCATTAAGATTGACAATTATTTTAAAACTCTCCAATATTATGAATTTAGAAAATATTAAAAAAAATTTCAAAAATAATTAAAAAATACTTTTTCTTTCATCAAAAAAAAAAAAACATTTTTTCGATAATACTTTAAAGACTATGCTTTTTTCCGATTTTTGCTTTAAAAAAAGAAAAAAAAAAAAAAATTGAGGTCTGCAATGATCCGATGAAATAAGGAAAAAGTCTTTTAAGAAATAAAATATCGAAAGAAACTTCTACCCTTTTCAAACGCTTTTTAGGCTCGGTGATATTGTAGAAAATAAAAACAATATTATGAATTTAGACAAAATTACACATTTTTTTCTGATAACCTCTCTCAAAAAAAAAAAAAAACCAAAAAGCAAAGTCTGTCAAAAACAGTAAAATAAAATTAGTTCACTTCATTTTCTCAGTCCCCATCCCCACAATTTCAAATCAATTAAAGAACAAACTTTAATAATTCTACACAATTAAAATAAAATTTAAAGAAAAAAAATAGTCAAATCAAACTATATGGTGAGGACTAAAAAGGAAGTTGTGGAAAATGATGATTGCCTAACGTCCTGAGTGACACCGTACATTATTAGAAGAATCAAAGAAAGATGTACAAAAGTTTTAAAGCAACGAAAGACAAGGTATTATGAACAACTACGATCACTCACGTTCTGAAATCATGGTATACAAAAATAATTAGTTCTCAAGGGTCGCTGTTTTGACTTTTTAAACTCAAGAGAGGTTCATGTTATTACTGACGAATGTGAATTCATTAGTTTCGATAATGATTTTGTTAATGCAGAAAAATCACCTGTTAATTTTTTTAGTCATAGATTTATTTTAAATGTTAAGATTGCCTTTTTTAATTGAATTCTTAGCAATTAAACATTTTTACTTTAGGACAGGAAGATTGTCATTTCTAAAAAAAAAAAAAAAAAAAAAGTAGAATTAATAACTTTAAGAATTATATAACTTTCAAAAGCTGATTTAGGATCCCAATAATTGAAAATGATTTAAAGTTAACTGTTTTATTAATGAAAAAGTTTTTCATTTTGGACTTTTCTCTGTGTTCATTTGGATACACATATCAATTTGCTGCTAAATTAATCTAAAGAATGATTTGGATTTAACAAACAAATATATTAGATTTTTATCTTCAATTTTAATAATTGAAACAGTTCCTGCTCCTATTCAATGTTTCTGGCTATTCTCCAGCTTACTATAAAAAATTCCATTTGAAGTAAACCATCAAATGCATTGTGAGACAGAAAGTGTATTATTACAGCAAAAAGTGAATTTACTCAGTATGAAACATTAAAAACTTATTCAAGACAACATAGTATAAACCAAAGATTGACTCTTGTTAAATACATGAAACACAAACTAAACACCTTTGATTTAATTTTCACCAAAAATGTGTCTAACTTTTTACACTGTACAGAACTACATTTGTTCTCAGTAAACTTGTGTAGAGAAACTATAAATCCATGTTATTTTAAATGTTATCATTTTCTTGTGTGTGTGTGTATATATATATATATATATATATATATATATATATATATATATATATATATATAATTATTTATTTAAAATTTATAGCATAAATGTGTTATAAAATCATTACAAAAATAGCCATTTTGTTTCAGCACCTCCAGTGTCTTATCAAGTGATGTTGAAATCTACATTCAACATCATTTGATAAGACACCAGACGTGTTGAAACAAAATGGCTATTTTTTGTAGTGATTTTATAACATATTTATGTTATAATTTTTATATAAATAATTATATTCGCTCTACTCTGTATTGAGCACTCTTTTAAGAATAGTAATTGTTGGTTATTAGAATTTATTCTGTATACACAATCATATCTTATATATATATATATATATATATATATATATATATATATATATATATATATATATATATATATATTTTCCTGTGTTTGATGCAGTTATGTTAGGTTCTTATATAAAGTTGGATGTTAACAAATTGAAATCTCATAAGTTAGAATTATCACCAAAGTCAATTTGAGCCCTATTAGGAGTGGGAGTGGTGTAAAGATTTTAGTTCAGCCAAGAACACCTTCAAAAAAAAAAAAAAATCTGATGTTTGGTCATTTTGAGAAGTAGGTCAGGTTGATAATTTTTCAGAATCTCTTATATTTATACATAATTTAATAAAAGATAACTTCACCATAACAACTTATTTTAAGCTTAGTAAGAATATGTTAGTGAAACATATCAACTCTTAAAACCTCTCAAAGGGGGGAGGAAGCAAAAACGGTCCTTTCTATGTTTTCCTATTGACTTATTGCAAAGATAATGTTAGCACAAACTCTCTGAAATTGAACACACCCAAACAAAAAAATACTAATAAGTAGAAAAACTAAAATATATAAACTTATGAAGTTGTATATCTTGGTTGTTAATAAATCCTAATGAAAAAAAGCACTTATTTTACACAAAAAATATTTATTTTTTGACATAATCTCCTTACTTGTCAATGCACTTAATGACTGATATTAATCATACAGAGCAAACACTATGCAGTGAAAATTTCAAATCAAAAATTTTCTGGACAAAAAAGAAAATATACTCAATACATTAGTGATTCACTGTAATGAATCTGACCATAATTTCAATTTAAAAAAAATTCTGTTTTAGTGAAAAGAGAAAGTAATTTACCAAAGGGAACATATATAGAAAGTGTACTGATCTATGAGTTTTCCATGGTAAAATTGTGTCTAGGTTTTTACAACACTTAACCTTTCTTAAATCTTCTGTTTTTACAAATGGAATATTCTTCTAGACACATTGGACACCAGAAATTTTAAAATTTTGTATTCCTACATCTTCAGTGTTTCCCACTCAGTATATAATTATAACCAATATATAATATGTGGAGGTGGTAAATATAAATATAAGCATTAGTTATACACTGAGGTAAATAGTAAAACAATTTTTTTTATTATATGAAAACTTATTTTTCTTTGGTTTAGTTACTTTGATTTACGGCATATTACCGTCAGTGGCTTATTTAACCCGACAAGATTCTTCGGATTAGTTCGTATGAATTGAATATATCTTCTTTGTAAGAAATCAGTTTGTAGATCAAGTTTCATTGACATATTTTTGTAAAGGGGTTTCTGTCGAGAGTCAAATTTATTGCTGGTATTTGTACTATAAATATCTATTTTCAATGCTTTATTGGTCATAATTATATACTGAAGGGGAAACACTGACGATGTAGGAATACAAAATTTTAATACACACACACACATTTCTTTAATATGAAGTCCTTTTTAAAAGATGAAATGTGTTGTATTGAATTTTACTTTTCATTTTTGTTAGTTACCAAAGATCAACTGTG